AGGTAGTAGGTAGTAGGTAGTAGGCAATAGGTAGTAGGTAGTAAGTAGTAGGTAGTAGGTAGTAAGTAGTAGCTAGTAATTGTGGTGGTGGCATAACAGCAGCATGGTAGTCGAACAATCGTTGAAGTAGGAGGAAGAGTAGCAGCAGTAGTGATAGGACCAGGATCAGGAACTGCAGCAACAGCATCAGCAGGAGCGGCATTGGTAGCCGGGAAACCAACTTTGGCTTTGGGGGCTCCAACGACACGCAAATCCTGCCTCAAGTGCTACTATCTAGTCTTTGCTTGCGATACCGTGAGTCAGTGAGGCTCGCAAGAGAACTGGCCCGAGGATCACACCATGGGCTGTGTCCACCAAGTACTTCAGCTCCTAGCGGCTGCGCGTGCAGCAAATTGATGCAGGTAGCCCCCCAAGTGAACTGCCCAACTTGTGTCACGCATTGGTCCTCAGGCGTTCCAGATCGACTGGCTGGGGCGAAGAAAGAAGTGACCTGGTGTCTGGTACGATGCTTTCCACAGCCCTCACAAAACCCTCACTTCGAATGTGCTACTGCTAGTGAAGGCCTGCGTTGGGTGTTCACGAGCTTAGATTCGCCAACGAGTCACGGGCGATCCCGAATCCATTTTTCTTCAGAAATCGCCAGCTGAAGTCGAAGCTCGAAGCGTCGCAACCCAGCTAAGCTACGTGGGGCAGTGGCAGCGCCTGGGTCACGTTGCTAAGTACCCGCACCTTGGATTCCAAAGAGTCCACTTCAAGGAAATTGTTAGCGGCGATTGCAAGACCAACGCCGACGCAAAGTACTCCGAAACCGCAAATGGCAAGGATAATGATGAGCTCCGTGGTCGAAATGCCGCCAGCTGCCCCCGCACTTGCAGCGCCGGGCTCTTCGACGGATGCATCAAGCTTCGTAGCCTTGCCATGCATGATGTCAGAGAGCTTCTCGTGGCCGTGGGCCGCTGCATATGCTTCTTGCAGAAGCGCAGTTCCTCCATGAACATCACCCAAAGCAAGAAGAGACGAGCCCTTCTGCACCTGCTTCAGAATCTCCTTAGCTTTCTGAACCTCGGGTGCCTCGGAATCGGAAATGTTTCCAATCTGAACTGCCAAGCCTTCTACACTGGAGTCCCCGGAGTCATCCATGCCTTGGGCCAACTCCTTCACTTCCTCCTCAGCCCGCTCGTCGCCCTGACCAACGCCGCTGGCTACAATGAGCCTCTCAACCTTGGCGGTCAACTGCAACAGCTGGCGTTCGCCACCCAAGATGCCCAAATGCTCGTCCATCACTTCCTTCGCCTTCTGCATCGTATAGCCTGGCTCTGCACAGAAGGTGAACTGCCGGTACGGGTTCTGAAAGTTAATGCAGTCCGTGCCATTGAAGAGTTCCACAGTATCCCCCGCCGGAGGCTGTGTCAGGAACTCCAAGGAGAAGACTTTCTCGTGGCCGAAGAACTCCCGCACCTGGTCGACAACACCGACATCTTTACAAATCGAATCTGCGGTCCACGTGATGGTGCCCCTTTCGATCATGATCCGGCGCGTGGACCATTCCTTGGCATCCATGTGTGTGTGTGTGAGATATGGGCCAGAATAATTAGAATGGGGTGTTGGGTGGGGGGGGTCCATTACACTGTAACTACACCGGGACTATGACTATGAGGAGATGCCATTACGAATTATTCGACCCACCTTCTGTCGTGGCCATCCCAGAACGAACTGGACAAGACCGGGTTCAAGGCGGGGGCAAATGTTAATTACTTTCCATTTTTGGGGCTGGCACAATTATTCCGACCCACCTTCTGTCGTGGCCATCCCAGAACGAACTGGACAAGACCGGGTTCAAGGCGGGGGCAAATGTCAATTACTTTCCTTTTTTGGTGCTGGCACTCCTGTTATTCTTACAAGTACACCAAACTCTTGCCAACTCGTCCCAATTGCTCCTTTCCGGCTCAGTTTCCTGACGCACTGCACGTGGGTCGAAGCATTGCCCCATTTGATTGTCTGGTCCTCCATTTCCAGACCATCGGGCTTGGCCAAGGCATAAACCTGTGAATGGATCGCATACGATTCAAGTCTGTATATCACTGTCTACTCGGAAGTACCAGCAGTAGTACTCGCACTAGTACTAGAAATAGAGTTATAGTACAGTAGTTAATAGTCCTTGTAATAATAGTCTCCCGGAGTCTTTTCGTGACACCAACTCCAGCTGCCACTCGGAAGAAGCCAAGCGGCCATGGATCCCATGAGATCGCTTGTGGACGCGTCGTCTTCAAAGGCTGCTGTCTCTGGTGGCTGGTCGGGACATCCCGCCAGGAAGAAGCTCCACCAAGTTGTGTGTTTCTGCCTGGCATGGTGATTTGAGCACCATGCATGGAAACGACTCCAGATGAACATTCTACTGCCACACCTCCTCTACTACTACTACTACTACTACTACTGCTACAGCTGCTACTGCTACTACT